ACCTCCGTTTTATTTTGTTCAGAAACTCTTGTATCTCATGACCATGATGGGGAAACATGTAGTTTCAAATTATGTTGATAATATTTGACTTCTTCGTGTTATACTGGACTCTTTAAATGTACTTAAAATGCTAATATGTTTTCTATTAATCATGAGTTCGGTTAATTGATAATCGGTTAGGCCTTTTCGAAATGTATATAATATGCTTTGTCATACTGCAATTCACTGGAAAACACCTAATTATAATAAAAAGCAATTTTGAACGAAGACCTAATTAAAATATAACGTCCTATATTTAAAAGTTGTAAATATTTTACACTGTATTTGTAATTTTTCGATTCATTTTATTGTTATTAACACTTAAGGTTTGATAACTCACTTTAGTGGGTAAAATCCTGTTGAAGAGACTTGAAGGTGTTGTAAATATCTATTAGGGTAAGTTATTTTGTATGCAAAACGTAACACAAAATATTATGCACCTTTTGAAGCGAGCATGTTGTTGAAATTAGGAATAATTTTACATTAAAAAATGGTAAACTTTATATAGTCGTCAAAAAGAACGATACCGTAACGTTACTCTGGGTGATTCCTAAGTCTAAGATGGCAAATACTAAAAATGAATCGTGACAATAACTGTCATTTTGGGTTTGAAAAGACCTACGGACGTATCAAAAGGATCTATTGGTTCAAAAATATGAGAAAGTTCACTAAAATATATTGCAAGGTTTGTCTAATAATAAAATTCCAGCCGGACCAATGAAAGGAATGCTTCACCCTATTGAAAAGGTAAGCGAACCATTTTCCACCATACATGCGGATCATTGCGGGCCAATCTGTAATCTATATCTATATATCTGAAAGCTGTCCGTGATTGTAGAAGTAAAAAGAGTATCAAAATTTTTGTAGAAAACTTCTGCATTATTCGGGGTGCCGCGGCGGTTATTTACAGATCGCGGTACCAGCTTCACTAGTATTGAATTTAGCAAATATGTAATGGGGAGAGGCTGGTATGAAACACATATTAAATGCGGTTGTTACACCTCGAGCAAACGGTCAGGTCGAACGATAATAAAACTCTCGTAGAATCACTCGCTTCTGCTAATCATGGACATCCTGAATATGAATGGGATACCGTATTGTTTAAAGTGCAATGGTCGTTGAACGACACAATTAACAAAGGCACTGGGAAAACTCTTGCTGAGACTTTATTTGGGGTGGTTTCTACGGGAAGTTGCGATAGCGTTATGAACAGTGCAGTGGCTGAATCTCGGCAACTACAAAACCGAGACGAGATTCACAATGACGTTGAACAACGAATTTCTTCTGAACAACTGAAGCAAAAGACCAGGTTTCATAAAACGAGAAAAGAAGCTAAGCAATATAACATATTGTTCGTATAGAGAAAGATGTATATATGGCGCCGGGACATACCAAAAAGTTGGTTCCGAAATGTTCCGTGCCGTACAGAATAACAAAAAGTCTGAGTCATGATCAATATGATGTTCAAGACACACCGATTACTAAAAAGGAAGGTAAAGCGGCATACATCGGAGTGTACCCGGTAGATAAAATACACCCTTGGTTAGTATTCCAAAATGATCCAATCTCGATTAACGCATATGTGTTCTAAATTATTTTCTCTTTAAGATATGTAGTTGTAGTTGCATCATAATTTATTATAAAGGATGAGATATATCCCTTCTGTTGTATATAATCTTTATGAATAAAACGTAATAGATAATGCATGAAGATATGAATAATTATTACACTTTAAGGCCGGTATCGGTGTGGACCGTTCTGCGCAACGGTACTTCTTGGAGTTAAAGAGTGAGCTGGTACTGAATGGTATCAGTGTGGACCGTTCTATGCAACGGCATTCATTAGATATAAGAAAGTGAGCCGTTACTGAATTGTATCGGTGTGGACCGTTCTATGCAACGGCATTCATTAGATATAAGAAAGTGAGCCGTTACTGAATTGTATCGGTGTGGACCGTTCTATGCAACGGCATTCATTAGATATAAGAAAGTGAGCCGTTACTGAATTGTATCGGTGTGGACCGTTCTATGCAACGGCATTCATTAGATATAAGAAAGTGAGCCGTTACTGAATTGTATCGGTGTGGACCGTTCTATGCAACGGCATTCATTAGATATAAGAAAGTGAGCCGTTACTGAATTGTATCGGTGTGGACCGTTCTATGCAACGGCATTCATTAGATATAAGAAAGTGAGCCGTTACTGAATTGTATCGGTGTGGACCGTTCTATGCAACGGCATTCATTAGATATAAGAAAGTGAGCCGTTACTGAATTGTATCGGTGTGGACCGTTCTATGCAACGGCATTCATTAGATATAAGAAAGTGAGCCGTTACTGAATTGTATCGGTGTGGACCGTTCTATGCAACGGCATTCATTAGATATAAGAAAGTGAGCCGTTACTGAATTGTATCGGTGTGGACCGTTCTATGCAACGGCATTCATTAGATATAAGAAAGTGAGCCGTTACTGAATTGTATCGGTGTGGACCGTTCTATGCAACGGCATTCATTAGATATAAGAAAGTGAGCCGTTACTGAATTGTATCGGTGTGGACCGTTCTATGCAACGGCATTCATTAGATATAAGAATGTGAGCCGTTAATGAATTGTATAGGTGTGGACCGTTCTGCGCAACGGCATTCATTGGAGTTAAAGAGAAAACCGATGTCGAATGGTACTATTTAGTTAGTATTAAGTGGAAAAAAATTAGTAATTAGAGTTAGACTTAAGAGATATTGTTAATTTAAAATCATATCATATATATCTTTGGTACTGTTTTTACGCGGGGACGCGTCTAGTGTCAGGATTAGTCGAGTGTTAGATAAATGATCATTATGCAATATTACTTAGTAATCTTCACAATTTATATTAATATAAATCTATTTCAAACTACCTACATTAATTCTAGAATTGAGTCACAATATAAAAGCGCGTACACTTGACGCTCGCGGCAGTTGATTACGAACAGTGGTGCTAAGGTTATAATAGTCAATTCTATGGTGAAATAAGGTGAATCTAAAGGTTGAGTAAAGTTAAATTAATATATAGTATTCTTTGTGAAGGTAAAGTATAGTGTGTTATAAAGTATCATATACAATTTAAGAGTGAAATTAAACAACGAACATAGTGGTTAAACAGTTAACTAAGTGAGTCGTCGTGGTTTTATTAGAGAAAAGCTGACGCATGCCACGAAATTTTCTGTGTTCTTAATATTTTTTTTATACCTCACATTTTCTATCTGCATATTGCACCGATCGGTTTTACTTACTTGTTATAATAAAAAATCTAAATTCAATTCTAAAATGTTAACTGTATATTACCAAAATTTTCGAGCATTACGAACTAAACTGCATACTCTTAATATGAATATTATCTCTCATACATTCGACATAATTGTATTAACGGAAACTTTGTTACCTACACGCGGATATCAGCGACAATGAATTTATAGACTATACTCGTAGGCATCATATTTTTAGAAAGAACAGAAATCTTGGAGCGACCGGCCGGCGAGACGGTGGACGCATACTGCGGTGCACCTCTCTAGTATATATTATACGGTAATCTATGGGGTTCGCTTTGTATTGGTGTAGCTCGTCTCGAAATGCTGACGCACGATTTTGAGCCCCTCCCGGCTCTTGATGATTTGTTATTACTAGACTTATGCATTGCACCATGTTTATATTCTCTCAGCCGTCTATATCCCACCCACTGACCTCTATATATACAAGTACGCTGGACTGGCTATACACCGTGACGTGATGAGGCAATTTTATTTCCGCCATTTTGGCGCTGACAGCAGAAGTGCACGTCCACGGAAGCTTGACACGAAAATTGGAAACAACTGATTGTCTTGACATTTATAAGTGTGAATTGACATGTTAGTGACATGTTAGTGGCTACACGGGCTCCGCCCACACCCCCGTTCTATTATGTATATATTATAGTATTCTATGGTCAAAATTATCGAGCTCATGGAGGTTAGAGAACAGGAGAATGATCGCTGCAGAAAAGTGTCCCAGAAATATGGATATAATAAGTGAGGTGCTGCGATCGCTAAGTTGTCTCGATAAAAGCGGGCTGTTGTGCGCAAGTTAGAAAAGATTATATCATTCAAAGAAAATAATGACATTATTTTTATTTATTATTGTTTTTAATAATTTTAATTATTATAAATATAAATTATTAATTGTTATTGACTTATTATTTATAATGTTTAACAATTAAAAAATTACTTCGCAGATACTACTTACCGATGGCAGCGCAGCTATAAATTTTACAAATTTTCAGGGACTATGCTTTAGCACGTAGCGATCGTTCTCCTGTTCTCTAATCTCGTAGACGGATTGTCGCTCCTGTTTTGTCCCTTAAATAATTGTTTGAGGTGGATTTTGACTTGTAAAGGAGACGCGATATTGTAAATTAAGTGTTTGCGCATGTGAACTATGAGAGAAAACGACGAAAAAAGTGCTTTGATGTCGATGTAAACCTCAAGTTATTTTGATTGCTTGGGTGCCTCATGAACTTGAGTGGCTATTGTCATCAACCGTCCGCTGGGTTGAGGTGTCGTCAAAATCTTCCAAGGGCTTCGTAATGTGACGCATCAGCATATTGTGAAGAAAAAGAATATAAAAATGAGGATTCCGGAAGAAATGATAGACTCGGAAGGGCTAGAACCCAGAGCCGTAAAGCCAGTTAATAAAAAAATACGTATACGCCAAACTAGGAAAAAAATCTATTTATCTATGAATTTTACTCTCTAGTACATAGTCAGTAATCTATGAATTTGACACTGACAGACAACAGACAGAAACAGATTTTAAGCAGAATTGTTATTTGTTATTTTTGTTGTGGTCACTGCTCAGTAATCGGTTGCACAGTAATCGGTTGTCTTTACGTGCTGCTGCTGTCTGAAATCTTTAGCTACGTCGAACTCGTACCGTTAGGTATTTTCTATTTATGAATGTGGGAATTTTCAACAGAGTCAATTTTAAGGTATGCAATTATATTTTTGTAATTTATGTAGCATAGATTTAAAAGTAATGTACTATTTACGTGTTATTGTGTAAAACTCATTAGCATTCACACATAATATTTAAGATACCTCTGGACTATTTTTTGTGAAATTAATAGGGTTCTGACCTGTAAGGGGCTATATCAATAAGAACATCACAAGATAGATAACAACACAATTATTTTAATACTTTACATAGTGAAGGTGTTGGAATCTTAAATGTACTTCATAAATTATAGAATTTAATATTATCTTTAATACAGAAGTTATATAGTTCTATAGTCCGTATGTATCAAGAATCGGATTAGAAAAGACTGCTCATCAAGCCTGTAACATCAACATGCACATAAGCCATAAGCCAGTCTCAACATGGTTTCTTCAAGGGTAGATCACCATTTCCAACTTGGTGCTCCTTAATTCATTCTTTATTAAAGCCATGGATGATGGTCAAGTTGACATTGTTTATTCAGATTATAGTAAGGCTTTCGACCGGATTTAACAGTTTGCTCTTAAAAAAGCTTCAGTATGTTGGTATCTGTGGAGACTTACTGCGGTGGTTCTCCTCTTATATCGAAAATCACTCGCAGGCTGTAGTTGTTAACAATTATATATCAGGGGTCCTTGCTCGGACCATTGCTATTTCTCATATTTGTTAACGATATTGAAACCTGTTTTAAATCATCACACCTACTGTGTTTTGCTGATGATATGAAAATATTTTCCACAATCTCATCTCAAGCTGATGCTGAATTACTGCAAGAAGATCTATTAAGATTGGAGGAATACTGTAATATCAATAAGCTTGAACTGAACCTGTCAAAATGTACCCTTATTACATATTCACACAAGCGAAACTTAATTCATTTCGGCTATCACCTTAAAGGTCAGAAGTTACAAAAAGAATCTGTTGTATGTGATTTAGGGATTTTCCATGACTAAGTTATTATTTAACACCCATGTTGACAATATCATAGCTAGGGCATCTAAGGCGTTAGGTTTTGTCATGCGTACTGCAAAGGAGTTTAATAACATTAAAACAATTAAAATCTTGTACTGTACTTACGTCCACAGTAAGCTTGAATATACTTTGCAGATCTGGAATCCGATGTATGATACATACATTAAACGGATTGAAAGTATTCAACGTAAATTCATACGATATCTTTGCTATTGTACCCATAAGAACTGCCGATCTGATGACTATCTATCCTTATGTAAACAGCATCATCTGTTACCTCTGATAAAGTGTCGGGAGATTGCTGACATTGTATTTTTATTGAAAATCTGTTCTTGACTGCTCTGATTTACTATCACAAATATCACTGAGAAATACTTTCTTATATCGGTCTAGCAATAATTTTAATAATTTATGCAAAAAGAATGATTTTGATCTGTTTAATACTAGCTATGTATCGGCAAGGTGTGCAAGTCGAGAGTTTTTGTGTCTTAATTTAATTTAAGATAAATTATGTTGTGCGTTTAGCCCTGCTTTTCTTTTCTTTTGTGGCTATAATTGTTTGTTTCACTTATTAAATTTATGCATGTTGGACATTTAAATTGGACTCCATTTTGTAGCTCCTATTTCTGCTATGTCCTTTAAACGATGAAAGATTCTGTTAGTGTATTTCTATTAGTGAGAACCTGTTATTGGCTTCTTGTAAATTTAATATGTTATTTACTTAAGATTTGTAAGCTGTTGGTTTTCCATAAAATAAAAAATAAAATAAAATATTAGCTAATAACTGTATATATTTTTACTCAAAATTTTTCTGATAAAATTTAATTTAGATCACTCTTTGTATTACTCTCTATTTGTTCATAAAGTTTTATTATAATTGGTTCAGAATGATTCATTCATTCCGAAGATTAGCTTGGACAGATAAACAACTGAAAATTTAAAAAATGATTACTAATTGTAATAATGTAGAAAAAAGAAACTTTTTTATACAAAAATATTAACAAACAAAATCGGCAATAATTACGAAGAAAACAGTTGTAGCTCACAAATTAGCAAAACGGACTGAATATTTTTTATTTTATGGGATTTTGTTATAATTGATTCAAATGACAAGTGTGGGTATAGATAGTGACAATGTGCGAGCGAGAGGTGAATAGAGGCGACGCCATTTTCATTTGCGTTCTTTTACTGCACAGGTAGTAAACTAATTATTTTAGTTCCATTCATACATGAAGCCACCCTGCAGTTATATTAGTTGTAGTTGTTGTAGTTGTAGCACAAATGGGATGTCCCAGTTGAGTCAGCCACTACCAATATGAAATAACAGTTTAAGGCTGCTGTGTGTAAAGAAAACCTGAGACCCTTTTTACTGGAAACGAGGCGTTCCATATTATGGAGTGAAAATGCTTCTACATTTTGCTTCTCAATTAATGATAGATGGAAAATGTCTATGGGCCACGGCATCCACTTACTATCAGGTGGACTGTGTTCATTTGTCACCCTTTTTCTATAAAAAATCTATCCTTCACAGCCTCCAAAAGTACACTTCTGAGCCTCTGCCAAACATTGTCACATTTTGTTATGGTATCACTATTAGAAAAATATTAAATACTAGCGAACTACTACATAATTAATGTGGCATTATTTAGATATAAGAAATTCATTAAAGACCATAAGTTTTATCAAAAAAAAAAACCTTTAAGTTTTTCAGATAAAGTAGTCGAGATCACTCAAGGCATTGATCTCTGTTTGTTTGTCTAATTTCAGTACAATTTGTTCAACCATTCCAAAGACTAGACCGGACAGACAGAAATTTTAAAAATTGTCATGTCTTGTTGGCATATAGATAACATCCTCAGTTCTATAATGGTATGGACAGATATGCTCAAAAAAAGCATGCTCATAAGCTTGCTTAAATTAATAGCCAGCAATGAGCATGCTTACTCATAAAGCTATTAGCTATAAGCTCATAAATAAGCATGCTCAAAGCAAACTGTGGACAGATGTATTATTTGGCACCAGGCTCTCGGCCAATATGGAAGTACAAAGATGTGATACTGACAGTGCTATCTGTACAGAACTCAATAAAATAATCATATTGCTCGCAACTGAATTGTGTAAGAACATTATGGTGAAAAAGAACAATCAAAAAAATTTGGGTTTGTAATTGAGTAAACAGAAGAAAATCACTGGGAGCAAGTAATCAATTGTTGACAGAGATGCGAAGCGAAGATCTCGACAGTTATAAAAATCATTTGTGCGAGTATGCACAAATTATTGCTACACAACTCACAAGTTTGATGAGCTACTTTCTAAAATTGAGATTGTCATACAAAACGAAACACTTGTGAGATGCTATTCCAGCTAAGCAAAAAACAAGAGTGTTGTTATGATTTCCTCCATGCACCACGATCAATCTATTGATCCAGAAAGCGGCAAGCCGGAGATCATACTTTTTTACAATACTAAATAAACGAAATAGCAGCTGTAATTAGTGGTGATCAATTTTCTACACGAGACATTGTCTTGCGAGCACGTGATGATACGTTGCAACGGGTAGCCGATACACACAAGTTTTATGACGCTCTGCAATACCCATTGATTAATTGCAAAGGACAAGAGGGTTATCATTTTAAAATTCCACTTATTAACCCGGTCATAAAGGAGCCTACTCCGAACAAAAAAGTATCATGTATGGAATTTTATGCGTATCATATGATGTTGCGATAAATTGATTTTAACCTCTTAGCCCGGTGTAGACAATTATTTCATCAATTTTTAGTAGACATGTATGTGAAGATAGAAAGTAAACTCCGTTATATATCTAAATCAAAAAAGCTGCCCTTTGAGAATTATATACATTTACAAAATGCAGTTTCTAGCGACGCCAATGTAAACCCCAGAGATTTAGGTAAAATGGTAATTCTGCCCTCATCATTCGTTAACAGTCCCCGCTACCTACATGAGTACACACAAGACGCATTCGCCTATGTACGAACTTACGGAAGACCTGATCTTTTTGTTACTTTTACTTGCAATCCCACATGGAAAGAAATAACCGAGGAGCTAATGCTGGGCCAAAAAAGTACTGACAGACACGATTTAGTTGCTAGAGTATTTAGATATTAAAAGTACAAAAATTAAGGAATGTAATTAACTGAGGGAAAATTTTCGGAGAGGTGCAGTGCTTCATGTATTCAATTGAATGGCAAAAAAGAAGATTACCGCATGCCCACATTCTAATATGGCTTAAAGAGATGTTGCGGCCCAGCCAAATAGACGACATAATAAGCGCCGAGATTCCGGATCCTGAGCAAGATAAAGAATTGTATGATACCGTCGTCCGAAATATGATTCACGGTCCATGTGGAGCACGAAATTCAATATCGCCATGTATGAAAGAAGGAAAATGTACAAAGAAATTCCCTAAACAGCTATTAAAAGAAACAGTGCACAATGACAATGGCTACCCTTTATACAGACGCAGAGCTCCAGAAGATGGTGGCAGGAAAGTTACAATCAAATCTCGCTCTGGAGCGTTCGAAACCTTAGATAACAGCTGGATTGTCCCGTATTCGCCCATTCTATGTAAAATGTTTAACTGTGGGCATTAAACATTTTACATAGAATTAAAGTAGAAGCATGTAGCTCTGTCCGCGTAATCAAGTATATCTGTAAGTACATAAATAAAGGAAGCGACCAAGCAATATTTAATCTCAGGAGTGAAGGTGAGGCAAATCCCGTTAATGAAGTACAGACCTTTCAAGCAGGGCTTTTGGAAGGGGGTGCGTTTTCCTTAGGGTTCTTGCTGTGCACTTCGGAAATGGAGAGCTTGTATATTTCACCGAAAGAAATTTCCAAGAAAGAATTGCATCACCGCCAAAAACTACACTAACAGCCTTCTTTCAACTTTGTCAAACCGACCCCTTTGCAAAAACGTTGTTATATTCTGAAGTCCCTCTCTATTATACTTGGAACACATCTAGGAAGGAGTGGAAACGCCGTATACAAGGCGCGCCTGTTGCAAATTGGCCCGGTGTAAAGTTATCAGATGCCCTTGGTCGTGTGTATACCGTCCATGTAACTAATTTTGAATGTTTCTATTTACGATTGCTTTTGCACCATGCTCGGGGTCCTACAAGATATAAAGACCTTAAAACTATCAACGGTAAAGAATGCGCAACTTATAGAGAAGCATGTGAAGCTCTGCATCTTTTAGAAAACGATAATCACTGGGATGAAACCATGGAGGAAGCTGTGCAGTGCCAGTCACCAGCCAAAATTAGGGATCTTAATGCAACTCTCGTATCATCTTGCGGGCTATCTAATGCACGTGAATTGTGGGACAATTATGAAGAGTACATGGCGGAAGATATTTTGCGAAGGTTACAGCAGACACACGCGAACATAATACAATGAACACATTTATAATGAAGCACTTGGAAAAATTGAAGATAAAGTAATGGCAATGGTGGGCAAAAATTAAGTGACTTTGGAATGATAAGCCCTCAGCGAACAACCGAAAATGAACTAAGTGATAAAATTATACGTGAAACAAACTACGATATACCAGCTTTGCAGCAGCAAGTAGCCGAATTTGTACCCCGCTTGCTTCCCGAACAAAAACGAGTTTTTGACAAAGTATTAGGACAAATTGAATCTGGAAATGGTGCACTTTTCTTTTTAGATGCCCCTGGAGGAACTGGGAAGACATTTTTGTTAAATTTATTATTAGTGCAAGTACGGAAAGATAAAAACATTGCTGTGGCCGTAGCTTCCTCCTGTATAGCCGCCACGCTGCTAAGCGGGGGCCGCACTGCACATTTTGTTTTAAAATGTAATGGGAGGAATGGTGGTTTTACTGGCTGGTGACTTTCGCCAAACTTTACCTGTCATTCAAAAGGGCACATCTGCAGATGAAATTAGATCATGCTTCAAGTCGTCTATTTTATGGAACAAGGTTCTGGTTAAGGTGACAGAATTCAGTTTAACTACGAATATGAGAGTGCATTTGTATAATGATATCAATGCACTATGCTGACACACTATTAAAAATTGTTATGAACACTACTAAAAATTGACTATGCAGACACACTATTAAAAATTGGCGATGGGCGGTTGGAAACGGATGCTGAGGGCTGCGTTAAATTGATGAGAGATTTTTGTAATTTAGTACAGAGTCATTCCGAATTAATTGCGAGCGTTTATTCAGATTTAACGAACAACATGCATGAAGACAAATGGTTATGTGAAAGGGCGATTCTTGCACCAAAGAATAAGAGCGTTAGCAAAATTCAGATATATTAAGCGAAGTAGCAGGAGAAATAACAGAGTATTTGTCAGTAGAAACAGTTATGGACACAGAACAGAGCACTTCATATCCCGTAGAGTTTCTAAATTCTCTAGAGTTGTCAGGTGTGCCCTCACATAAGCTTAAATTAAAATTAGGCGTCCCAGTCATGCTAATGCGAAATTTAGATGCTCCTCGGTTATGTAACGGGACAAGGCTGCGTGTGACACATATTGGACGGAACATAATCGGTGCTACAATTTTGACAGGCGTAGGAAAAGGTGAAAATGTTATTATACCACGGATCCCTATAATTCCCACAGATCTTCCTTTTCAATTCAAAAGGTTGCAGTTCCCTATTAAGCTCAGTTTTGCAATGACAATTAATAAAGCGCAAGGGCAAACGTTACAGGTAGCGGGGGTCAACTTAGAAAAACCGTGCTTCTCTCATGGTCAGCTGTATGTGGCATGTTCGCGTGTGTCAAATACCCAGAATCTCCACATTCTTTCCCCGAATGGAAAAACATATAACATTGTGTACAGTAGCGTCTTAAAATAGTGTTCAGTTAGTTTTTTTTCCAAAATTCCCATAATCAATTAATCAGAATTCCCACAGATCTTCCCTTTCAATTCAAAATTTCCTATTTAGCGCAGTTTCTTTTCAACTCAAAAGGCTGCATCTCTGATGGATCTTTTATTTGGCTCAGTTTCCTTTCAATTCAGAAAACTGCATCTCTGACGAATCAATTTAGCTCAGTTTCTTTTCAAAAGTCTGCATCCCTGACGGATAATTATGCTCAGTTTCCTTTAATTAAAAAAAATATCCCATTTACATTTGGAATAAACAGGCTATTTTCATGCTTTCCTTTACGCTGCGTTTCAAAACATTTAAATAGGCTGACGAATCAATTTTGCTCAGTTTCCTTTTAATGGCTGCATCTCTGACAAATTTATAAAACTCTTTTTTCATTTCTTTCATTCAAAAAGCAATGGATAGTTTCCCATTGACCATGCGGGCGAAGCCGCGGGTAACAGCTAGTTGTAATATAAAGTAAAAATGATGGTAGTTTTATTTTGGAAAAAGGCACCTAAACTTACTCATTTCTTCCACAGAGCAAGGACAGTGACGGCATGTATTCAGAATGGACCTCGCTGCCCTTGGAGGGTGGTGGACACGGAGTGTTGGGTGCAGTTGGAGGACGCGATGTAGTGCTGGCAGTTGTAAAACAACTGGCCTCACATCAGCCCAGCCCACTCACTACCGATACAGAGGTGGGTAACTGTCACATATAAACAATATTATATTAATTAGTTATATGTGTGTACAAAAAAGTATAGTTCCAATATACAATGGAAAAGTGTCACAGCAGGACTGTAAAAACTACCGTGGTATCAGCTTGCTTAGCATTGTGGGTAAACTGTATTCTAACTGGATTTCGACAGGAAATGGGGTGTATGTATCAAGTCTTTTCCATACGGATGATTGCGGAAATTTTTTTGGCCAAAAACTAGAAAGTTTTTTGTGCATTCATGAACTTGGAAAAGGGCTTATGACAGAGTGGACAGAAATGTGTTATACTAACATTGAACTCATTTCAGTTGAGCTCTGGTTTGATACAGGCATTAAGGTCTCTTTATAGGGACTCTAGTGCTTGTGGCATCCAAAAGGGTGTCAGATAGGGCTGTGTAGATTCCCCGTGGCTAATTAAACTATTTATGGACAGTTGTTTGGAAACTGAAAGGTGAAGAATGTGCATGTACACATTCAATCACGAGTATAGCCCGCTAGACTTCGTGAATTGCAAGAACTAAAGTTAGCAAAAAAGGTTATCGATATATATTACATTGATACATTAGTGGTAAGCTGCATGGCTGCAGCACGAATTGGTCGGCTCAACCTGGAAATGATCACGCTCCCTCAAAGTACCACCGCAGCGTGAAGTAGCAGCATAATGCTGTTATCCTTTTGGTAATGAGTGATTAAGATGGGGTATGTAAATATGTATGTGTCACAGCATACACTTACCATCAAGTGGATTGTGTGCTCGTTTATCATCCTTCTTATTAAAAAAATTGACCTATGTGTATTAAGCGTTGGTGACCACAGAGGTAAGGACCTTGCAATACTGCTTCCAGTACCAATCTTTAAGATTTTGGTTTGGCATTGTTATAAGATATTTTCATTACTAATTGGTTGTCAGAACCTAATCTGGTACCCAACAGGACACACCAGGGGCAGCTGTGGTTAACATTTCAAAAATGTATGTACTTATTCCCTGTGTACTTGAGTCACTTGTGTGTAATTTTTATGGCTTTTGTTTTATCATTACAAATATATTATTACTGAGCAGGGGTCTCATCTATGCTGATTTGTAGTAGTCGCCATGGTTAGCAGAAAGATTGTGCATTTCAGTATCCTGTAGTCCGTGATTTATTTTTTCCAATGCTGACTCATACACTAGCTGCGCATATTATATTATTTAGTTGCTATCACATGTGCAAAAATGTCAATCTGCTAGTGTGGTCCTATTCAGACGAATTTATAGACAGAAATGGATAATCATGTGATTGATGAGGGGTTATTCTTGGTGATCTTTCGAGCCGGATGTGAACTAGTAAGCTATAGATCCGGCGAAATGGGTTGATTGATTCTTTTAAGTCATCATCATCATCATTCATCATTACAGCCCTTCACAAGTCCACTGCTGAACATAGGCCTCCCCCCAAGTAATGCCACAAAGCACGGTCCTGAGCCACCTGCATCCATCGACTTCCTGCATGTCTTACCAGGTCGTCACTCCATCTAGTGGGGGGTCGCCCTACACTACGCCTACCGGTACGAGGCTGCCACTCGAGAACCTTTCTTCCCCATCGGTTATCGGTTCTTCGAGCTATATGGCCGGCCCATTGCCACTTCAGCTTACTAATCCGTTGGGCTATGTCGGTCACTCTGGTTTTACTGCGGATATCCTCATTTCTGAGTCTATCACGCAGAGAAACTCCGAGCATAGCCCTCTCCATAGCTCGCTGAGCGACCTTAAGCGTCCTCATACGGCCAGCAGTGAAGGACCACGTCTCAGATCCGTAAGTCATCACTGGCAACACGCACTGGTTGTACAATCTAGTTTTTAGAGATTGAGGTATACCTGACGAAAAGATATGCCGTAATTTCCCGAACGCTGCCCAGCCGAGTTGAATCCGTCGATTGACCTCTCGGTCGAAGTTGGACTTACCTAGTCGGACTATTTGTCCCAGGTAAACGTATTCGTCAACAACTTCGAGCATAGTGCTCCCAACAACTACCGGCATAGGTGTGACATGGACATTGAACATGATCTTTGTTTTGTCCATGTTCATCTTAAGACCTATCCGTTGGGAGGCACTATTGAGGTCATTGAGCATAGTGCTTAAGTCCTCCAGCGATTCTGCCATAAGGACTATATCGTCGGCAAATCGAAGGTGAGTGATGTACTCGCCATTGATGTCAATACCGTATCCTTTCCAGTCCAGTAGCTTGAAAACGTCTTCCAATGCAGCGGTGAAGAGTTTCGGGGATATAACGTCACCCTGTCTTACACCTCTCTGCAGTTGGATAGGTTTCGAGCTCTGGTTCTGTACTCGGATAGCCATCGTAGCCCTACTGTACAAACACTTCAGCACTTCGATATACCGACAGTCAACTTGGCACCGCTGAAGGGACTGTAGCACCGCCCAAATTTCGACGGAATCAAAGGCTTTCTCATAGTCCACATACGCCAGGCAAAGTGGCAGATTGTACTCTTCAGTCTTCTGTACAATCTGCCGCAGGGTATGTATGTGGTCTATGGTACTGAAGCCTTTTCGGAAACCGGCTTGTTCGGGAGGCTGGAAGTCGTCAAGTCTGCGTGCGAGACGATTCGTAATGACTCTCGAAAACAGCACGTAGACGCGGCTCAGAAGGGAAATCGGTCTGTAGTTCTTTAAGAGAGCGTTGTCGCCTTTCTTAAAGAACAAGACCACCGCACTTCTGCTCCACGCCTCTGGAGTAGTGCCACCATGGAGGACGGAATTGAAGAGCTTCTGAAGGACTTCAAGTACCGGTGTTCCACCCGCTTTCAGAAGCTCCGCTGTAATTCCATCCTCGCCTGCGGCCCTGCCGTTTTTAAGGTGCTGGAGAGCCATTCTAATCTCGCTTAGACTGATGTCCGGGATATCATCGGAATAGTGTCGGATAAGATTTGCTCTTGGATCGTTACTCACACTTGCGTGTGGCTCCAACGATGATGTGTACAGCTGCCCATAGAACCTCTCAATCTCACTCAAAATCTCAGGTGTCCCGGAAACGATGTTGCCACACTCAGTCTTCAGCCTTGACAGTTGGCTCTTTCTGGCAGACAGATCTCTGGCAAAGACTTTGGAGCCCTGGTTCCGCTCGATCGCTTCTTTAATACGAGAAGTATTAAAGTTGCGTAAGTCTCGCCGTATGCATTTGGAGATCTGTCTGTTCAGTTGCCTGTATGCTGTCAAATCTGTTGACGATTGCAGCCTCATCTCCCGTCTAACAGCCATGAGATTAAGAGTGTGATCGGAGAGTTTTTGTGTTCTTCTGCGGCGGGTCTTGCAGAACTTAGCTCCGACCGCATGGACAGTTTCCACGAGCTTGTCGTTCATATCGTCCACTGCATTGCAATCTTCTAGGCACTGGAAGCGGTTACGTAACTCGAGCTGAAAGGTTTCGGGATTCTGGATTAGAGCACGAGGGGGACGGAGCGTTGACTTCATTAGACGAGACCTCTCCAACTTAACGTTTAGGTTCAGTGTGCCTCTAACCATTCGGTGATCGCTGCCAGTTTTCACCCTTGCGATCACTGAGACATCACTGAACAGTTGGCGTCTGGTCGTCATAATGAAGTCAATCTCATTTTTTGTCGAACCGTCGGGGCTCGACCAGGTCCACTTCCTGTGGGGCCGCTTCTGGAAGAAAGAGTTCATCATAAAGAGTCCCTCTTTCTCCATAAAGTCGGCCAGCTGCTGGCCCCTTCGGTTCCGTTGCCCTACTCCAAATTTCCCTACCTTCAGCTCACCGCTTTCTCTTGTGCCCAGTTTTGCGTTGAAGTCTCCCATCAACACCGTGTAGTAGGTTTTGGAGGAATGTATGGCTCTGGAAATATCCTCATACATTTCCTCCACCTCCTCATCGGGATGTGCCGAGGTTGGTGCGTAAACCTGAATGACCTTCAGCGAATACCGTTTGGTGATTCTGAGTATCAGGTACGCGACCCTCGTCGACACACTCCCAATTTTAAGTCGCCACATAGTAATACGGTTAGATGTGAGTTGATGATTTGTAACGTAAGCTGTACATGTTACGGTCTAAAGAAAAGGTTTCCCTGCGCAAATACTTGATTTTCAAATATTCGTCTGTTGACCGGAGTAGGTTCGCTCTCACAGAATACCATAGTAAAATAGCAGCTTAGTGCTGCTGTGTTGAGTGGTGAGCGTAGAAAACCGGATACCCTTTTTTACTGGATGTGAGGCATTCCATCTGTCCTGCAGGGTGACAACGCATCAGCACTTTGATTCTTAATTGAGGGTAAATTTAGATGTCTATATTTCACAGTATCCATTTACCATCTGGTGAACTGTGTGCTTGTTTGCCATCCTATCCTATATAAAAAAATGGGAAACGCAAAAAGATAAAAGCGTGTAAAACTGTAGTAGGATACCGATCGGCACAGGAACCAGGCAAACAGTTAACCGCACAGCATTTAATAATTCTGCGCGAAATCACTGGTATATTCACAGATATAACATAGTATGTTTTTCGTGATATATCTTCCCGTGGGTGTCGCGAGAGACGACAGGAGGAAATTAAAACAGGAGATGGGCGGCATCACCCTCTTCATAACAACTGAAACTAAAAACTGCGGTTGCCAACTCGGCTACCAAGCGTGATAGCTACGGTAAAATCCCCTCTATGAGGCAATTGAACGGGCTATGTTCAGCAGTGGAATTTAATAGGCTGTAGTGTTGGTAGCGTATGTGGCGCCACACGTGAAACACACCGAAGCTTTAATCGCGCTATCAAAGTTCCGAATCATAAACAGTATATATAGGACAGCTCCGAACTATCACACGGAGCGTTGGCCGCTCCCCGGGCAGAACATCTTTACTCGGCGGGAGATCTCCCCTTTTCCTTCTACGGCCACACGTATAAAGCTCGCCGGCGCAGGTGGAGTGGGTGCTGGAGGTGGTGCGGTACGGGCTGGCGCTGCCGCTGGGCGAGCACGAGGCGCTGCGCGCGTGCGTGCGCGTGTGCTGCGCGTGGCTGGGCGCGCTGCTGCCGCCCGCGCCCGCGCCCATGCCGCCGCCGCCCGTCGTGCCGCCGCCGCTGCAGGCCGACCCGCGCCGATACGCCGCGCGCATCCTTAGCCACCTGCACAACCTCTTCGTGCCGAGGCCCGACGACAGTGAGTGCAGTCATTTTAATATCATCATTTTATAAAACAAATATTTCAATCATGAGAAAAAAATCTTAGTATATAATACATTATTATGTATTATATACTAAGATTAACATAATATTTAATAATATCTTAAGTAATGTCATTGAGCTAATATGTACTACGTACTAGAGGCGACACTGCATTCAGCTACTATGTTCACATTCAACTGCGGTGCATACACCGCACTTTAATCAGTCACTCGTTAGGCGCTTCTAGAGTTGACACGTGTTATGTTGATTTAAAAAAAATCTCAGTCCCCCGTGACCATGGGTGCTGGAAAGCGCCCGAAACGTCGGGAATTAAAAAAAAGTAAAAATAAACGCGATAAAATCCGTAAAAGTAGTTTTAATCATGTGTAGTGTTCGCGTATATATAAGAAATCATTAAGTTTACCTGTTTTATAAAAACAAGAGACATGCGCAAAAAGTGGGATAAAATATGAGACCTCATGAGAAACACCAGCTTTCAAATAAAAAAGAATCATCAAAATCGGTTGAACCTAGAAATAAGTTCTAAGGTAACATACACAAAAAACAAAAATACAGTCGAATTGAGAACCTCCTCTTTTTTTGAAAAGGGTTGAAAAAAAAATCGGAAAATACTGCATTCATCCATTCATTGATAAAAACATAAATTGTAGGGCTTTTGTTAAAACAAGTCAAAAAAATGGGCAACAATTTATGTTGACTTTTGCTATATATGCTAAACTCATTGACGACACTTGCTCGAAACTAATATAGGATACTAATCGCCTGCAAGTATCCTTAATGTACGAAAATCCCTACGCGCTTTTTATCCAGCTTGAAGGACCAATGTTGAATAAAACTGTTTTTACGAATTTTATCGCGTTCAATTTAACTTATTTAATTCCCGACGTTAAGTTTGCTTTGTTTATTGTAGAAACTATACGCACTAGAATGGACTGTATTATTATATTAGAAAATGTACAACGGTTGTCGTCAAACTACGGAACAAAACGAAAAACTGGTTGAGGTTAGCTAAGTTGACATTAGTCAATATTTAACGCTGACAGAAAACTAAAAACGAAGGGAAATGACGTATTTTTCAACATTTTCTTACCTATCGTTGATCACATTCATTTTTATAGTTTTCAGATTTTATGATAACATAATTTTATATTTTATGGAACTGTATTTAAATGGTAATATGATATATTATTAATGTTTTGTATAGCTTAGTATACATTACATACATTATTTATCAAAGATAAAATACTTAATATTTGTATTAAGTTTTACTAAAATTCATGTATAATTTTACAAGCTCTCACATTCATCTATCAAATGGACTTAGGTAAGTCAAGCTTATAGAAAAATATAAGAATTTACCTTATAAAAATAAAAATTCGATTAAATTAAATTACAACATTGATAACAACGATGTTGAGAAAGTGTGTCAAGGGTATGGACTAATACCACAACGAAAAATTTTTCTGAAGAAGAAAAATTTATAATCAGCAAAAAATTTAATGGTATTTAATAAACCATTGTCGTTTAAATATTTCTCAATACATGTATTTAACTTTAATATAGTAGCGCAGCTAGCTTAGGCATTTGCTGAAAAAACACTAGGAAACCTTTGTACCATTGCATCGTAAACTCTTAATCATCATCATCTTTACAGCCCTTCACAAGTCCACTGCTGAACATAGGCCTCCCCCAACGAATGCCACAAAGCACGGTCCTGAGCCACCTGCATCCATCAACTTCCTGCATGTCAGGTCATCACTCCATCTAGTGGGGGTCGCCCTACACTACGCCTATCGGTTCGAGGCTGCCACTCGAGAACTTTTTTCCCCATCTGTTGTCGGTTCTTCGAGCTATATGGACGGCCCATTGCCACTTCAACTTACTAATCCGTTGGGCTATGTCGGTCACTCTGGTTCTACTGCGGATATCCTCATTTCTAAGTTTATCGCGCAGAGAAACCCTTCATAACAAAGGTTTTAAAATTTTTTTCTGTGTTCGGGGGAAGCATAGCCCTTTTCATAGCTCGTTGAGCGACCTTGAGCGTCCTCATACGGCTAGCAGTGAAGGACCACGTCTCAGGTCCATAAGTCATCACTTGGAACACGCACTGACTCTCTCGTTTTTAGGTTTTGAGGTATACCTGACGAGATGTGTCGAAATTCGTTCCCGAACGCTGCTCAGCCGAGTTGAATCCGTCGATTGACCTCGACAAAGTTGGACTTACCTAGTCGGACTATATGTCCAAAGTAAACGTACTCGTCAACAACTTCGAGGTTAGTGCTCCCAACAACTACCGGCATAGGTGTGACATGGACGTTAAACGTGACCTTTGTTTTGTCCATGTTTGTCTTAAGACCTATCCGTTGAGACACTATTGAGGTCATTGAGTATAGTGCTTAGGTCCTCCAGCGATTCTGCCATATGGACTATGAGAGGTCGGCAAATCGAAGATGAGTGATGTATTCGCCAATGATGTTAATACCGTATCCTTTCCAGTTCAGTAGCTTGAAAACGTCTTACAATGCAGCGGTGAAGAGTTTCGGGGAAATAACGTCACCCTGTCTTACACCTCTCTGCAGTTGGATTGGTTTCGTACTCTGGTTCTGTACTCGGATAGCCATCGTAGTATAAACACTTCGGCACTTCGATATACTGACAGTCAACTTGGCACCGCTGAAGGGACTGTAGCACCGACCAAATTACGACGGAATCAAAGGCTTTCTCATAGTCCACATACGCCAGGCAAAGTGGCAGATTGTACTTTTCGGTCTTCTGTACAATCTGTCTGCCGTAGAGTATGTATGTGGTCTATGGTCCTGAAGCCTTTTCGGCAACCGGCTTGTTCGGGAGGGTGGTAGTCGAGTCTGCGTGCGAGACGATTCGCAATGACTTTCGAAAACAGCACATAGACACGGTTCAGAAGGGAAAACATTCTATAGTTGTTTAAGAGAGCGTTATCACCGTTCTTGACGAACAAGACCACCGCACTTCTGCTCCACGCCTCATCAACGACGTCAACGAATCATGAGCAACAACGCAAATAGACTGCCCCCAGTCCCCGGCGGCCCCGCTATTCCTGGCTATGGAGGCGACCATGGTAATGGCGGGGCAGGGGGTGCTAAGAATCTCGGTGGGAGGTTTGGTTGCCACCTAAAACGACTCGACCTGGTAACATACAACGCACGCACCCTGAGGGCTGATGAGAAGATCCTGGAGCTGGAAGAAAAGACAGACAACTTGCGATGGAATATTATCTAAGTTGTGAGGACTCGGTGATTCTTGAATCCGGCAACTTGTTTTATCACCGAGAGGGCGACCATCTGTCCCAAGGAGGTGTTAGATTTATCGTCCATAAGTCTCTCATTAACAATGTAAAGATTGGGAGTGTGTCGATGAGGGTTATTTACCTTATACTCAGAATCACCAAACGGTATTCGCTGAAGGTGATACAGGTTTACGCACCAACCTCGGCACATCCCAATGAGGAGGTAGAGGAAATGTATGAGGATATTTCTAGAGCCATACATTCCTCTAAAACCCACTATACGGTGTTAATGGGAAACTTCAACGCAAAACTAGGCACAAGATAGAACGGTGAGCTGAAAGTAAGGGAATTCGGAATAGGCCAACGAAACCCTAGGAACCAGCAGCTGGCCGACTTTATGAAAAAAGAGAATATTTATGATGAACTCTTTCTTTCAAAAGCGGCCCCACAGTAAGTAGACCTGTTCGAGCCTCGACGGTTCGACAAAAAATGAGATTGACTTCATTATGACGACCAGACGCCAACTGTTCAGTGATGTCAGTGATCGCAAGGGTGAAAACAGGCAGCGATTAATGAATGTTTAAGAGGCACATATTGATATATACAAAAATAATGAAGGGTAACGATCGCAGGCGCGGACCTGATCAGCAAGCAGGCGGTGCTGTGCCACCGCGTGCTGCGGCTGGCGCGATCACTGGCAGACAGCGCGGCGTTGGGCCCGCGCGAGTGGCGTGCGCTGCTGCTGCTGCTGCTGGCCGCCGCTGCCTCGCTGCTGGCGCCGCCCGCGCCGCACCACGGCGCCGCCGACCAGCTCTGCGAGCGCGTCCTTTGCGTGCTTTTCGAGGTGTGGATCCTTGCCTGCCACAGGTACGTACTGCTCGTCCGGCTCGAAGGACCAAATGTGTTTAGACCTGAGAAATGTATTGTTAATGTTTATTTTGTATCCACTGAGATCGCATACATATAGCTACTGTGGTCGAAACTGGCTCGAAGAACAGAATTTAATGACTACTGAGATCGCATACATATATCTACTGTGGTCGAAATTGGCTAGAAGAACAGAATTCAGTGTTATAATAGTATTATTAAAATTAATATTTTTTGAAAAAAAAATGCTATAGCCTGGTTATATTCAACTAATTATTTGGAAAATAAAAAGAAATGAAAATAATGACGACAATTTTTACAAGAAAAAAAAACAGAATGTGATCGACTTTCTTTAATAACTTTTAAACGAAAACGAAATCAATGGGGATCCTCCTTAGAATATATGAAATCTTATTTATTGCTATTGCAGTCTATTGCTTACATTTCTATTAAGCGAGAAGAATCACAGACGCACATACCAACAGACGGCATGTGCATACTATTAAACGAGCAATTCTTGTATATATATATATATATATATATATATATATATATATATATATATATATATATGTATATATAATCGAGATCTCGGAAACGGCTCCAACGATTTTCATAAAATTTAGTGTCCAGGGAGTTTCGGGGATAAAAAATCGATCTAGCTAGGATTTATTTTTAGAAAATGTCTTTTTGTCCGTGTTTTTAGGCAATGAAAAACTGCTACAATATCGTTAGAATAAGAAGGTAAATTTTGACAGATTGTTAATGATTATATATAGCTTAATTGGTATAATGAGCGGTCACAGAATCGTAAAACCCCGGTTCGAGCCCCCGACCGACCGACTTTTTTTTAATTTTTTTCAAGTTCCTTTCTTTTTTTTAAGAAAATTTATTTTTTCGAGCCCATTTTTTAGTATTTTTTAAAAACACGAAAATTTAAATTAAAATAATTGCACTCATGATTTTTTATTCAAATAACCAGTTCCGTTTTTTCTATTATGTCGCTAAGATCAAAAAATATTATTTATATTTCATCAGTATGTAATGTAAATATAATTTCCAAAAAATTGTATCTAAATATAATTTCCAAAACACACGAATTAAAAAAAAATCGAGCGAATAATACCGGTCAATATATATATATATATATATATATATATATATATATATATATATATATATATATATATATATATATATATATATATAACATATTTCAATCACATTTTTTGTTTTGTAATGTAAAGTGAATCAATTCGAAAACTAAACGGCTTATATAATTCATTGTCTGTAGTTATTGTAACGTTACTATTAATATGGATTTGATGTCTAGCTAAAAGTGTAAGAAACATTTTATGTAGCGAAATTGATTTATGGCCAGATACCGAGAGTAGAGTCCTCGCTCACGTTGTGAGGCGTGCGATTCGACATTTTGCAGGTGTCACAGTAACAGCGAGTACACTTATTGTTATGTGTCTATAACATATGGAATATATTGCGAAGTTGTTTACTATATAGTTTGGGTTAAGCATGTGGTGCCGGTCTCTATTTTCGCACTGCAATTTTTGTTTTGTAAAACGCCGCTGTTTCAACCAGCAGACATTTTAACAGCGGAGGAACTCTAACATTTTAAAGTAATAACCAATAAAAAATCCTTGCAGGTGTTTCCCGTCACCGGCGCTGTGGCGCACGCTGCGCGAGCAGTGCGTGCGCTGGCGGCATCGCGCGCCGCTCACCGAGCAATGGGCGCGGGCCTCGCTCTGCCTCACCGCGCGCCTGCTCGCGCATATGTACGGACCGCTCTTCCCTGCCATGCCCGTCGGTGAGTCGCACGCACTCGCAGCACTCACGGCACACGCACGGCACCGCGCGCCGCTCACCGAGCAAGGGACGTGCGCCTTGCTCTGCCTCACAGCGCGCCTGCTCGCGCACATGTACGGACCGCTCTTCCCTGCCATGCCCGTCGGTGAGTCGCACGCACTCGCAGCACTCGCAGTACACGCAGCAGACGCACGGCACCGCGCGCCGCTCAGCGAGCAGGGGACGTGCGCCTTGCTCTGCCTTACAGCGTGCCTGCTCGCGCACATGTACGGACCGCTCTTCCCTGCCATGCCCGTCGGTGAGTCGTACGCACTCGCAGCACTCACGGCACACGCACGGCACCGCGCGCCGCTCACCGAGCAGGGGACGTGCGCCTTGCTCTGCCTCACAGCGCGCCTGCTCGTGCACATGTACGGACCGCTCTTCCCTGCCATGCCCGTCGGTGAGTCGTACGCACTCGCAGCACTCGCGGCACACGCACGGCACCACGCGCCGCTCACCGAGCAGGGGACGTGCGCCTTGCTCTGCCTCACAGCGCGCCTGCCCGTGCATATGTGCGGACCGCTCTTCCCTGCCATGCCCGTCGGTGAGTCGTACGCACTCGCAGCACTCACGGCACATGCACGGCGCTGCGCGCCGCTCATCGAGCAGGGGACGTGCGCCTTGCTCTGCCTCACAGCGCGCCTGCTGGCGCACTTGTACAGACCGCTCTTCCCTGCCATGCCCGTCGCTTAGTCGTACGCACTCGCAGCACACCACACGCACGGCACCGCGCGCCGCTCACCGAGCAGGGGACGTGCGCCTTGCTCTGCCCCACAGCGCGCCTGCTCGCGCACATGTACGGACCGATCTTCCCTGCCATGCCCGTCGGTTAGTCGTACGCACTCGCGGCACACGCACGGCACCGCGCGCCGCTCACCGAGCAAGGGACGTGCGCCTTGCTCTGCCTCACAGCGCGCCTGTTCGCGCACATGTACGGACCGCTTTTCCCCGCCATGCCCGTCGGTGAGTCGCACGCACACGTAACTTCTCAATTATCGGTGATCATACATTGTTTTATACAAACATAACGGAAGTTTATTTTCGCTCCTAAAATTCTTATTTAAATATTTTACATGCGCTCGACGATTTACAGATTGCAATAACAAACAACAAATGCTATTATAAAACATATGACAAATGTAATTATAATAGTTAAATTAAAAGAAGAATTGTAAGTTTTAAAAAATTTAACTTATACAGTTTGAGTAAATTAATAAAACAGCAAAAAAATATCATTAGGCATTGGTTTACACCACCTTTTTAGGTGGAGTAAAGTGCTATAGAGATTCTGGCATAGTTCTTCCACTAGGATAAACATCCAAACCAGAACACATGTACCATAGACGAGATGGTTATACCAACATCTATTAGAAACCAGCGATGGAATGGAATGATGAATTCTCTTACCCCAACATATTTTTTGTTCTTTTAAACTAGGCGATGAAGACGCGAACCTAGTGCCGGCAGACATGAGCGCCGAAGCGGTCATGCAAACCTGGTACCGGATACTGCACACCATCGGGAACCCCGTGGATCTCTGCCGCCCCCACATTATCAGTCAAACGCCAGAGTTTTTGCAGGTAAGTCTTGCTGATATTGAAGTTTATCAAATGTTTCTTCATATCAAATCCCGCTTTGAAGTTGTAAAAGTAAGTACAAATAAAGTTACAGCCTATATGCAGCGCGGTGCCGTGCGTGTCCCACTGCTGGGCACAGGCCTCCCCTCATTTCTGAGAGGATTTTAGGGCAAGCAAGTGCCCGCCGCGCTGCCCCTTCAAACTGAATTTCGCATGTCTTCGAAATGTATTTTTTTTCTTATTCCTCAGACATGCAGGTTTCCTCACGATGTTTTCCATCACCGCCGAGCACGTGGTAAATCAGCACTTAAAATTACAATTAACAATTTCTCGCGTTCTGTTATATTTACAGCGAGCGTCAACCATGTGAGCTACGACGGCTCTATATATATATTGAAGTTGTAAAATTAATATAAAACGATTGCCGTTTGTAATAAAATACATCAATGCCAGTAATAAGATCTTTGGTTGTTGTCTTTTTATTTATAAACTTATATGTGTTATACGAAATATATATTTATCCACATGAATATTACTCATTGAATAAAACTAATTTTACGGACTCTATTGCGTTTAAAATAACTAACTGTTACTCATTTTTATTCCCAACGTTACGGATTCTTTACAGTAGCCATGGTAGTCCTGGCCTGTGGACGGCGAGCAATGGGCAGCTCGCCGTCCGTCCGTCTAACGACGACAGGCCGTGTCGACGGCGCGTTTTGTTCCACGCGCGCCTCAAAGAGCTGTCAGCAGCGTGAAGGGGCCCGCAAGGGCCGACGCCTGCCGGGGCTGCGGGCTGTTCGAAAGAGATACCGCAGCTCCGGAACGTAAGGGCACTGAAGGAACACGGATGGTTTTTAGTCAGTAAAAGTCTGACACTCCCTTACGCTCCACCCAGAGCGAAAGGCGTCATTAGATGATTTTCCATCCGCAAAAAAAAAGGCCATGGTAGTCCTCCTGTGACCATAGGTGCTGTAATGCACTAATCAGTTTTTTTCTTCATGGGGGTGATTTTCTTGTATTAAGGTAGGACCACACTAGGCGGGACTGCACTGCACCGCAACTGAGCGACACGAATTGGTCAGTTGATCAACTTTGCCGCGAAGTTCTGCTGCAGTGTAGTTCCGAAGTTCTGTCTCAATAATTTCATAATATAAAGAATATTTACAAGCGTCGTGTCGTTCAGTTTCGCCTAGTCGAACGTCCTACCTTTAGCCGCACTCAGTTTCTTTCAATCACAGTCGCTATTAAGTTGAGCAATGGCAATACCACATGTAACTGTTTAATTTTGTCCCGAAGTACTCGATGACTGCAGAGGAAGGCGCTCGAGATCCCAGCGCCCACCCGTGCCTCCAGGCACTACCTTCCATCTTCCTCAAGGCAATGAAGGGGATCGCTGCTCACGTGGACGCCTTTCTCGGTATGTTTTGTACTATCATCACTTCTTTTGAGGTTTTTGAGATTTTGTTTGAAAGGTCTGAGATTTTTTGAATATGCGCGCATGATAAGTATATGATTTACTTTACTGACGACTTCATTCTCTAAACGCCAATGGTGATGAATGATAGGTCACCATATTAAAATTATTATGTTATTTATTTTAAAGTAAATGTAATAAATGCAATAAGAAAATACAGTATTTCTAAATAGCATTTTCATAACAAAATTTCTAGTTAGATTTTTGCATATCGTACAAGAAACTTGAAGTTAGTACGGAATCCGTATGTATATAACATGATAGTCCTATTCTTACCGTGCGCGCATAGTAATCGCTAATACCCTTGTTAGGATTGCAGTTTGTGTAAAAATCAATTGAGTAAAGTGTGACTGCGCGGTTAGCCAAGTTGACCTTCTACTATCATTAACCCGTAAAGAAAACTATAGAATGAATAATATCAAATAAGTCATTTTAATAAGTTGGGGAATAAGTTTCTTCGAAACATATATACAAATTCAAGATTTTTTTTTCAAAGTTTAATTATAATATACTGTAAGATTTTAGTATATAAAGAAAAAAATAGGTCTAATAGAATAGAGGCCTATGGCACTGATATTTTACATTTTTTTGCTTTTACATTAACATATTTTGAAATTGATCTATCAATAAATACTACTAATTTGAAATAAACTTTCAGTACTAACAAAATAAAGAAAATATTTCGAAGACATGTGAAGTTCTCCAACACGCATTGGAGCAGCGCGGCGGACACTTCCTTGCCCTAATACCCTCTCAGAAATGAGCGGAGGCCTGTGCCCAACTGTGGGACGTATATAGACTCTACTAACAAAATAAAAACAATTTTTTAAATTAAATATATAAATCAATTAAAAACTATCGAAATTAAAATAATACGAACCCAATTAGTAGTATTTAGTGATTGTATATCAATTTCATAACATGTTATCTTAAAAGAAAAAAAAATTGTGGTGGAGCCACGTGTTTAAGGCTGCCGAAGTCTAGTTCCCCGGTCGAACCTTAAACCTATTGCGCGAATTATTAATCTAAGTGGACTGTATCTACTAATGCTTCTACACTTGTATATGCGGTACAATGCACTCGCTCTTCCCAAAAAAACGAACTATTATGCCAAATCGATGAAAGGAATCCTGCTTGATTGGGAAAACACAAAATTGGAGCGGGTTAAAGCGATTATATCAAGCAGGCAATAATAATGGATATTGACTCACCGGGATGTTTCTTCTATGCGGTCGAGCACTATAACTGCGACTACTGGAACACTCCGGAGAGAGGCGGTGCGCGACTATATCTCACACGAGGTGAGGCGGGCTTCCTGGAGCTCGACTGCTTCCAGGCTAAAGCGGTTTCTACTAATGATGTGTTTCCAACAACGAGCGCGGCGGGAAGAGAGCTGTGGTTTCAACGGCGAGCGCGGCGGGAAGAGGCCACGCGTCGGTCGCGCGTGTCTTATATATCCTCGGTTCCGATGATTACGTGATGTTCTAGAATCATCTTCTTTCCCCTCCCACCCCACCACCCCGATGTGTCGATAGGAGGGTACGAATGATATCGTTTTGGAAAGGGATAACCGATTTGGCAACCTACCGTCAAATAAAATAAATACGAATGGTTTTCCGCGCAACCATCTCCCCCGCCCTTGAAGGATCTCCTTCAAAAATAACTAAAACAACTAGAGCTAAGATCAACTAACAAATAACTAACTAACGCTAAGATTACCTAAATTCAACTACAATTTTAATCTAGAAAGCTAATTTAAATTATGGAAGAGGCAAGGGGCACAAACGGACAACAGGACGTAGGTAAGACCCAACCGTGGTCTTAACGCGAGCTATCCTAATTACTCCGTCGGAACCGGGAAAGACCTCTTCGACAATTCCTAACGGCCAATGGAGAGGTGGCGTATTCTCCTTAGTGAGCACAACTACAGTCCCTACAGCTAAAGGCTCAGTCGCTGTGTTCCATTTTTGCCGAGACTGCAAAGTATGCAAGTATTCCATCCTCCATCGTTTCCAAAACGATTGCACTAACCGGTCTAATAATTTGTGGCGTGCGGAAATGCTAAGTCTGTTCTCATCTATATCTGCGGCGGGCAAATACTTTAAAGGCGTTAAATTCAAAAAATGTGCTGGAGTTAGAGCCAGCGGTTCCGAGGGGTCACTAGACAACGTCCGACAAAGTGGGCGGCTATTCATTACGCATTCAATTTGAGCGAGCACCGTACTTAGCTCTTCGAAGGACAAAATTTGATCTCCTATTACTCGGTATAAGTGACTCTTTAGACTCTTAATATTGGTCTCCCAATTGCCTCCAAAATGACTCGCGGCTGGGACGTTCAGAGACCACTCAATGCGGTTCTCGGCTAGAATGTGAGCGAACTCCGAATTATAATACTTGCTAGCTAAGAGCTCATGTAGTTCCGATAGAATACGTTTTGCACCGACGTAGTTCGTACCGTTATCCGAATATAATTTACTTACAGGGCCTCTACGGGATAGAAATCTTTTAAATGCACCCATAAAGCCTGCTGTGCTTAGATCACCAACGAGTTCTATATGCACCGCTCGAGTAGTTAGACATACGAAAATGCAGACGTAAGCCTTTGTGGATCTTATACCATGCCCGCGAGTGAGCGTGACCTTAAACGGACCAGCGAAATCCGACCCGGTGTGCGTGAAGGGCTTTACCGATTGTATTACTCTACAAGATCTAAGTTCCGCCATTTCCGGAAATGACGGCTTGGGGCGTGCCCGAAAGCAAGCTATACATCTGTGCACCCGATTGCGTATTAAACTACGTGCAGAAAGAATCCAATAATTTTGACGCAAAATCGACATCAACAAGTCGGGGCCAGCGTGCGAGTTCAATTTATGATGGTAATCGACTAATAGGTTCATGATATGGTCTTTACGCGGTAAAACTATAGGGTGCCGTTGGTCGAAACTCAACTGCGAGTTGGACAAGCGTCCACCTACCCTTACAATCCCATCCTGTAAAAATGGCTTAAGGCGTTGAAAGGCGCGACTACAAGCTCTATTCGATTGTAATCTTGTAATTTCTTCAGAGAAATGCGCACGTTGAAGTTCACGTAATACTAGCGACTCGGCATAGTTGTAATCGGACGCTAAGACATACGAACGTCGCGGTAAAAGCTTCGCGAATCGACAAACGTAAATTACGCTACGCAATAATTTCGACCAAGAGGACAAGCGGTTCGCCAAAGCAATGATTGGAGAAACCTCGCTCGAAACGTTCGCCACTAGAGCGTGTCTCTTCTCTTCCGGCGGTTGTGACACTGACGAAGGTTCGAAATCGGTTATTGGCCATTGTGAGGGATCCAAGTGAACCCAAGAAGGTCCGTGGAACCAAAGCGGGTGGTCCATTATTTGCATCGGGGTGAGTCCCCGGGATAGACAATCGGCAGGGTTTTCCGTACCGGATACGTGATAAAAGTTCCGCGTTTCTAACTCGTCTTGGATCTTGGCCACTCGGTTCGCGACAAACGTATCCCAACGGTGAGGTGAAGAATGAACCCAGCATAAGGCGACGGTGGAGTCGGAAAAGGCAAATATCCTTTCTATGTGAACTCTATCCCTACATGCGCTGATAACTGCGGTAATAAGCTTGGTGAGTACTAATATTGCGCAAAGCTCTAAGCGCGCCAGAGAGACAACCTTACGGGGGGAGACTCTCGACTTAGAACTAATGAGGCTAATCGAATTTCTACCATTATTCTGAACGTGGAAATATACAACGCCCCCGTAAGCCTTCTCGCTGGCGTCTGCAAACCCAACGACCGTTATGACGCTATTTCTATCGACGTTTATATGACGCGGTATTTTAATTTCTCTTAGTAAAGGAAGTTCCTCTCTAAAGCGCTGCCACAAACGAGCAATGCTGTCAGGCGGCGAGTCATCCCAATCGCATTCAAATAACCAAAGTTGTTTAATCAAAAGCTTAGCGTATAATACCACCGGAGCTACGAAACCCATGACGTCCCATAATCTAGCAACGCATGACAGTATTGTGCGCTTTGTGCATTTCTCTACGGGCGGATTTACCTTAAGGCTAAACACGTCGGACTCTGGTGACCAACACAGACCGAGCACCTTGTGTGTATCGGAATCGTCGAATTCCTTTATCGCCGAAAGACGGTGTGATAGTGGGATTGTATCTAAAACCGGACGCGAATTACTAGTCCACTTCACAAGATCGAATTGACCCGATTTCATGAGCCTTATAACCTCGGCGGTGGTTAGGGTGGCCTCCTCCACGCTATCGACCGAGTATACAAAATCATCCATATATAAACCGCTCTCAATTGCCCTCTTAGCTTTAGGGTAAGAGGGACCTTCATCGTGGGCGAGCTGTTTCACCGTGCGTAACGCATGAAATGGGCTCGACTTTAAACCAAAACAAACGCGGTTAAATTCAAACACCATTAGAGGTTCCTTTGGATTGAAACGATATAAAATGCGTTGGAATCTACGGTCGCATTCACGGACCCCTATGCAAAGAAACATTTGGCGAATATCGGCGGATAGTGCTATACTAAACAAACGAAAATTGGCTATTATATTAAATAAACTGCCCTGTAAATTTTGCCCACTATAGAGGATATCGTTAAGCGACAGGTGAGTGCTAGTTTTAGCGCTAGCGTCGAGCACTACACGTAACTTAGATGTAAGTTTGTCCTCCCTAATGACCCCGTGGTGTGGTATGAAATACGACGGTGTGTCTTCGTAGTTATCTAATTTCGAAGCCACGAGTGATATGTAACCTTCTCTTATATATTCGTTAATGACTCCGTCATAAGCTTCCTTTAACTGGGGTGAAGCGAGCATCCTACGCTCCAAGCTGTAGAAACGTTTTTCCGCCATTTGACGCGAATCGCCGAGAGATAAAACATCTCCCTTAAAGGGCAGCGCTACACTATATCTACC